GCATAAGTACTTACAAGCAGTAATTAAGGACAGATGATAAAAATAAAAATGGATGCCTGAATTGGTATATATTTTTTTGACTTTATTTCATTGCAAATGATGAAAATAATAAATTTCTAGAATAGAAAAAAATATGTAAACTTTCTGTGACGTTCTAAATCCTACCCTTCTGAAACCATCCTTATTATTCTATACAAATATTTTTCACATCAAATTCTATTTTTGTACAGTTTTGAATAAAAAATTAAAAACTATACGGTGAAACCTATTTATTTCATTCATTAAAACATGACCCAAGTTGCTATTTTCAAAATTTTTTAAAAAAGTTTTTATCATCTGTCCTTAAATATGGTATATACATGTAAACTGTATTCAGTATTAAGGTATGGGTAGAGATTAGCGTTGTGTTCAAAACCTCAATAATTAAGTTTCACAGCCGAAACATGGCTGGAAAATTGCCGACTCTGCGTTAAACAGTATACAATCAATCAATCAATAAGTTTCAAGAGTGTTCTAAAAAAACTATATATAAAAGCACTTCTTCAAAGTACATGTAAGTACAGCACAATACAATTAACGATTTAAAGATAAGAACAGCCTGTTGATTATGAAACGGAGATAAGCAAATTAAAGGGAAAACGATTAAATAGAGCAAAAGACACACATTTAGATAACTGTTCATCAATAATAAAAGATCTAAATGACACATGCTATTTTATCTTTAGTTCTTAATGCATTATCTGCTCATGGAAGTATGAAATATGTGGAAATAAACAACTCAATGTATATATAAAAGCCTAACAATTAGTAGGAAAAGGGCAGTCAGTATTTGACATATTGTAATATTGTATATTCGCTAACAAATTCATTGTATCGACAATGGAACTTATGAAATGATGACTTTAAACGAAACTTATGGTATTCTTGTTTCAACAATTTGTTGGTCAATAACACACTTCCTTTTAGAATTTGTCTATATATAGATCATGCTCTTGCGTGTCAAATCAACTGAGAAATATAAGCACCGTATACAGATTATAAGCCTTAGGGTGTATTCCTGCATAAGTAAGGAAAGATGACGACTAAGAAGTTAGAGTGATCAAGTTTATCATAAAGATTGCTGTTAGATTAGACGCCTTTTTCTTATAAAATAACCCAATTTTAAAATATTTGTCAGACTCTGTAGTGTCTTTTATCTTAAGCTCAACAGGATATACGAGGGGCGTTCAATAAATAATGTCATCAGGGCTCGGAGAGAAACAAAAATCGCTTTTCCATGATTTTGTCTTAATGATTTAACTAAAATATTCTCTTTTAATTGAAAGACATGTCCGTAACATTTTTAATCAATTTCTAATTGTTTTTAGAACACAGTTTTGAGTATGACCCCTCGTATACTGGAAATGGCAGATCCTATGATTTACTGTGCTTGTTTTTTTTTTTTTTTATTTCTGAAAGGTGTTTTCCTAAGTTTGGGAAATGAAACAAGTCAAAGATTGAAAGATCTGGTGAATATTGTTGATGTGACAAAACATTAACTCTCTGTTTACCCCAAAACTCCTTTACTCTTCATGGCCTGGGGGTTTGGACGCTGTCAGGAAGACATTTAATGTAGTGAATTCTTCATTCTGTTTCCTTTCTCTCATAAACCTTTCAATTTTTTGGCAAATATTTTGCTTACTAGACTCCTCCAGAAATTGGACTACCTCCCTATATATGTATTTGAACAACAAGACCGCTAATATTTAAGAAAATAGCGTACAAAACTTTTTTTGTGTTCTTGCAAATTTTTGTTCTTCTTAGGCCTTTGCCGTTTTGTCAAGGACTTCTTATTCTAAATTTGGTCTGAGGGTTCAACGCAAAATGGATTCAAGTTTCATGATCTGTTTGAATTTCAGAAAAACGTGGATAAGAACAATTTTTGATTTTTTTAAAACTAATGGTTTAGATTTTCTACACGCTCTCGTTTTCACTCATATTTATAAATATATATAGGGTGACACTTGAGCATTTAAATTTTGTACAATCAAATGTTTCTTTAAAACAGTGTAAACTACCCCCGATATGATGTCTATCAAATTTGCTATGTAACTTAAAGTCAATAAAACATAAATCTGTGATAATTCGTTGAATTATCGCTAATATACATTGGTTGTTGTAAGTCCTTTTTGACAAGGAGGATACCCATTTTTGATGACCATTATATAATTTTTGTTAATTGAAATTCACCTGTTCATGTGTGTATGAAACGGACATAAGTTGCTGTAAATTTCACATATTTCAGTTAATATATTGTTGGGAAATTAACAAGTTTTACAGCAACTCTAATGACGCGTTCAATTTTACTCTAATTTACTGTTTCTTGACCATTCATTTCTAACGCAGTGTCTTGAGTTGCCCTTGTTTTCCAGCTTCCCACAATAAAATTATGCGATGAAAAGTGGTCACATCAACTGTTATCAATTCATTAAAGATTCAATAATTAGAAAAAGACAAGTTTAATGTCATATGATTTCTATGTTGCATGTCATGGAGCTGATGACATTATTTATTGAACGCCCCTCGTATCATGTCGACATAAAAATGACGTTCACATCATATTGTCAATATATCCTAATGTCGAGTTGAAGGACACAGCAAATATTCTCTTCCTTTCATGTTAATGATTTTCAACATATTCTGCTTAATATGAATACAAAATAAGTATGCTAATGCAATGTTTATTACAATATTGGAGGGTTATGTTTTCAGATATAAATATTTTTTAAACATGTTCCTTGCTGGATGAAAAGAAAATGTGTTACGAGTTCAGCCAAAACAACGTCATTTGCATCAACCAAATAATCATCACATGACAGCATTATAATTAGAAAAAAACCTTTCAACATTTTCTTTATTTAGCTTCATATCATAGCATTATTTGACAAAAAATGTTTCAAAAATAAACTCAAATATATGCGCATATGAAAAATGTTTTAAAAAAGTCGAAATTCATTTAAAACTTACACTGTATTCAGGGTTTTATATGAATGAAAAATGGATCGCAAAGATGTTTTTTTTAATTTAAATCAGTTATCTAAATTAATTCTGCGAACATATCTTCCGTAAACGGAAAAAAAATCATAGGCATTCAGTTTAAGAATTGATTTATCGTTCCATGTATTGTTTCCATGAAAAAAAATCAATGTAGAATGAAAACAGTAATTGAAAAATGGCAGAAAGACGTCGTAGAACGTCAAGTAAAAGCAGTGAAAGACAAAATTTTGTTGAACTCCATTAAATCTCAATAAAAAGAGTAAATGTATAGGTGATGGATTAAGAAGGTATGTCAAAAACTAGCCAAGAATATGTGTGTACTTAGCACTGATGGATTTTGAAGGATTGAGACTGTATCAGCTGCAGAAGAAGACAATTGGTGAGAAAACGATCTGTATATAATCTAATCTAAACATTTTAACAGGAAGTAAGGTTGTCGTAAGAGATAAGACGCTCTAACACTGTTGCTGATCTAAAGAAGAAATCCGCTATGTCGTCAAAAATAACACACTGCCAAATAGATGATAGATTTTCCCGTTACCACGGCGGAGTCACGGGTCAGCAGGGGATGCTCATTTCTCCATGGTACTTGATCCCACTCCTGATTTTTCGGGAGTATGTGTTTGTGCTGCTTCTTTTTTGTATTGTTTAATGTACTTTTGAGTTTGAATACTCTTCGTTTTCTGTTTGTTATCTCCATATATTTCATTCTATGAAAAGAATGTTTTTATGATACTTACTTTGTAAAAAAAAAGTATTATTTATAATATATTATCATTAATAGTCATACTTCAAAAATGTTTTCATTGAATTACATTTGTTGGAAAAAAAAATGATGATTTTTTTCAATATTACTCATTACTATAAAATTCGAAGAAACGATTGTTACTATACAGGAAGAAAGCAGAATAATCAGGATTTTAAGGGTATTATGCATTGATTAAGTACTACATTCACTATATTTAATCGCTGAGTCTAGTACCATTTATTCTAAAATAAGTAATTACATGTATGTTTACCTCACTCACGTCCTCGAATCCTTCTATTTTGAGTAAAGATTTTAAAAAGTACAAAACTCTTTTAGGAATATTTTTTTAATGCGATTGAAAAAATTAATATATAAAAGCAGGAAGATACCATTTACATTACAATTATATCACTTTCAAATGATTTAATAAGATTTGATATAATAGATCTTTCCTTCCGAATGAAATATTGCATCATATATATATAGCTGTTATCAGATGACTTTGATGTGATACCATAAGCAAATATTTAAAAAATTCCCTCAAATATCTTAGATAAATATAAATTAGCTGTTTTCTGAAATTATTATTTTGATGTACTAGTATTCAGCTCTTTAAAGTATTCTTCCTCGTTTTCGACAAGAAACTTATAAAAAAACAAGAATGTATTGATAATTGAAGTGCCTTCTCATTTTTATGCTTTAAAGATATTCCTTTATCGTTACAAACATCTACACTTGGAGCTTCCCAGCATATGTTTTGTTAAAGTACTCTAACTAGAGATATTCGTTGATATTCTACTTTAAATATATTAGGACTGGAAAGTGTTCCCTTTTATTCGTGACGCACATAATGCATGTACTACTTCTTTGTTGCTCCTCATATCACACACAATGTAATGGCTTAAATGCATAGGTGTTTTTATTTGTCTTATTCGGAGATGTGTACATGTATATTCCAATTCCTCTTGTCAATCACGAGGGAACCGAGCAATGATTTCCATAAATAGTATATACTCAAATGCTGGACCTCTCTGTGTGTGCCTTTGTAACTTTATCAGTCATACTCATATATAAGAATCGAGGAAGAACGAAAGTAAAAACCCATACTTGTTTTGTGTTATTCAAAATTTCTAAAAAAAAAAAACTTATATAAACTCTAAATGTATAATATTTGTCCACACTTTATGCATGTCAATAAGCAATAGCATAACATTTCAAAAATAATTGTTTTAATAATTCAGTGATTTTACAAGTACATGTACGTGTTTCAATAGTTCCACAGTACCCAGAAGTATTTTCCATTTTTTAAGTTTTCGTAGAACTTTATTGGACTAGCTTAATTTTCATAATCTTCTTGAAGATTTAAAACAGAAAATCTGCAAAGTACAAAATCGCTCTACATGTACATTTACTGTGACTCTCACTATTTAAAGTCTTATTTCACAATTAAGCGTTTAGGTCATCGCCTGTGGATTGGACAAGTCATCATATTGATTTATTTCTGCATTCATTTCTACTTCGTTTTGTAACCCGCTTATAATAGTTATTCCTTGATAATGTTCTGTCGAAAATGGAACCTGGATATCTAAGTAATCAGGTGATCTTTCTTTCAGTTGATTGCAAAGTCGTTTTAAAAGAAATAGTAATAGTCCAATTAATGGTATCAGAGCAAGCATGATGATGAATCCATAATATGGCAAATAAAATCCATCCTTTCCTGATTCAAAAACTTTCTTGTCCATCTCTGTTTCCTGCCCCAGTGATCGAAAAATGTATGTTCTACTTGAGTCGTTTGGAGATGAACTAGCCTTACCTAAAAGATTTACATCTTAAGTTCATAATCTCAAAATTATCATAATCAACATACTACAAATTATAAAGAAAGGTAAAGGTTCCCTGAGTGGTCAAACTTGTAAACAATCCCATCTCTCCCTTGGTGTTACACGATTAATTATAAAGGAAAGTATGTTAAAAACAAATATTATTATGTAGATCTTTATTTATATCATTAATTTCTATTATTGACGATATAAAGAGAATTAATTCAATCTAAAGCATGATCTAATAATTAAGTGGGAAAAACAGATTAGATCTATTATTTGCATCATTTATAACCAAAATATATAACAATCCAGTCATCCATTTTTGTTTGTACTGTAAACCAACTTTTATTCGCGACGACTTTATTTCGCGATTTACCGGGAGTTAAGTAGTTCGCGACGATTAATTTTCGCGACCAAGCCTTTTTTGAAATTGTTTTAATAGAAAAAGAGACTTTAAGGACCCGTTCGCGGCGAGAAAAATTCGCGATGACGAAGCTCTCGCGAACCTCGCGAAAATTTCTCGCACGCGAATAAAAGTTGGTTTACAGTATAATCTGTCCTCAACATACATTCAGGAGTAGATACTGAACAGAGAACAATTTTTTATACAGCTAATCGTATTGAAATTAAATCTTATTTCCTGATTTAAATGCGTGATGTCCTTGTTGATTTGATACTAATAATCCTATCTTTATTCTGATGCTAAATCATTGCTTTTTCAAAACAAGATCAATGAAAGTTGTGCAACCGGAATTATCAACAAGCTAGCAGAAATCGAAAAAAGTTATTAAAATTCAGCATTCAATGGTAATGCTGAATCTGACAATCCATTTCTTTTGTGCTTGCTGGACACTGATTTAATTAATATAGGCTAATGCCGATTTTTGTATCAAAATGAATTCTCAGTACTGTATACCACTTGGATAACATTGAAATGTAGGTTGTCCAAAGACTTTCAACCATTTACCTGTTGTAAAAAATGAACAGTCTCTGAACTTTGTACAATCTAAAGGACATCCAGTTGTCACATTGCAGTAATATTCAGTACATTCACATTCCTTTTGACAAAGGAATCCGTATGCAGGGAATGGACAAGGAACCACGCAATTAGGTCCTATATAACCGTCAGCACACTCTGTGATGAAAAAAATGCTTGGTTAACACAACACAATATATTTTGCTTAGATTTGAACACTAGAACTGATGAAATTGAAATAAATGAATGCAACACTTGCACTTACTTTGAAACTAATTTTAAAAACTATATAGTCAAAATATACGTACTTATGCAATCATTGATCTCTGCAGAGAACTGGTACCCGTCACAACAGCCTCTATACAATGTACATACAAACATGAAACTGTATCATAAAGCTAAATTATTCCTGCATAAACTTAGAAGATATCCAAAACAGAAAGACTATGTTGGGTCAACGTTAGTAAATGGTTGTGCTTGGCGAATGGTCGGTGTTGAGTAGACAAACTTCGTCTAAGATTAAACAAAAATTACGTGGTCAATCTTCTATTTAGTACATGACCATATTAGGATTCGAACTTGGCCAAACGTTAGTCCAACATTAGCCAACTTCTATTCAAAATATTCCTTTGAAAAGTTTCTGCTGTTGGCCAATCTTTGCCCAGTGCTTGTAAAGCATCCGTAAAAAGAATATTTGATTAATCTGGTACCTATACATGGACCAAAGGCTGGCATGTGCATTCTTTATCTAAGTGGAAGGAAGGAAGTATATTGGCAATAAATAGACCCTAGAAATGCATTGTTGAATACGCATATAGATTATTTAGGAGCATTACGTTGGGGGAACAGTTGCCCAGTGTTTCGTATACCGTTGCTGAAAAGGATTATTAAAGTTGGTATTAGTATGTTGACCAAGTAATAGCAGTTGCAACAATGACACAATAGTTGTTCTGCAAACTAAATAATTGATGAGGTGACATAACGTAGGGCCAAGATTGGAACAATTATCATAAGATAATCCCAATGAAAATCTGTTGATTAAAACATAAAAATGTGTATTGAGCTGTCAAATACAATAATTCACAGAATCGAATTACACTAAAAAAGCAGAGAAAGTTATTGAGAAGAAGTGGAATTTTAAACTTGTTGATTATACAACAGCTGTGACCGTCATAGTAGCTCAATTAGTAGTGATTTCGCTTTGTAAAAAGAAGGTCATTTGTTCAAACCCAGGCTGCGGCTGACCAAATCGATAAAAGCAACAAAGGACAGCTTCCTTTGAACTTAGAAATTTTAACTGAAGGTGTTGGGTCTTTCGAATGAGTCTTGAAAACTGCTCAAAATCACAAAGTTTGAATAGTTGAGAGGGTATATAAACTGTATAAAGTGGAAAAGGTAATAAGGAAGAATTAAAAGTGATTAAAAACTAGAAAGTTTGCAAGCAATAGCGTATGTCGCCCCGAACTGGACAAAACTTTAATTTTTTCATTGCTAAAACAATACCCATTAGCTAAGCTTGGGCAACCATCAACTCGTATCAGTCCTTTCAGTACTTTAATTCAAAAATCAAAGTTAAAGAATTTTCACTTTTCCCCTGTTTCCATAGCAACTATGGACAATATGCAACTTTTAAATGCAACAACACGCACAATTACAGATACTAATCATTAAAACAATAAAGTTTGATGACGAACGTCCAAGGGACAAGAGAGAAGACTCTCGGACAAAAGCCGTCACTTTTTTGCAGGTTTCCATGCCAACGGTAGCAATTTTGAAACTGAATGACCACACAACACAACTACAACCAGTGATCGTCCTTTGAGGAAAGTTTCAAGAAGATAGTCCAAGCCATGTCGGAGAAACAGCCCGTAAACAAAAACATGCGTACAATCGCAATATACGTACAATCGCAATATATCGCCCCCGACTTTGTTCGGGGCGACATAATAATAAGTAAAGACCTATCAAAAATATTAATTTAGTGCATATATCATATTTCTCTAATTTTTTCTCTCAAAATCTATCTGCTAAAACTTTGATCATCACACAAAAACTGCAATAATTAAAAATTAGAAATAAAGATATATTTGCGAAACAAAAGAAGTCCTTTGAACATCTGAGAGACTCACCCTTGGCCATTGCATCTACGAAACGTATTTGAATGACAATTTTCAGTTGCAAAAATTAAACAATATATTACACACAGTCTCCTGGTTGAAACTTTCTTGGAAATGATATCATATATTGGATTGAACATATTGCTGAAACTCTGTTGTACATATTTACAGGTCAAAATGATATCCGTCTTTAATTAAAAAATTCTTTATTTGACATGTACCAAAAGATTAATCACTATTATCCAATTTCCCTCCTAAACAGAGATAAATCTAGCCAAGTTATTGGGCAAAAAAGGCTGGTTTGCCCACATTGCAAATATAAAAATAACCAATAGAAAGCCATTTTATGAAAAGTCAAGCTAATCTGATATCAAGTGACCATCGCAAGTAGGCGTAAAATAAAACTCATCAATCATATTTTCAATAACTAGCATAAAATAATTTTAAAATTCTGTTAATATTACTCTTTTGGTGTCTGAAACCGAGTCTAGTGTGAATCCTTTTCAGGAAATAATGGAATGAATTAAGGAAATACTTTTATAAAAATGATTTAGATTGGTCTTACATAAAACCATGCAATGTGCGGATAAGAGTGACACCGGATTGAATCAAAACGCTTCCCGTTTATGGTTGTTTTATCTTTAACATTTGTTCAAACTACAGAATGATAGATTTTTAAGTGTTCGCCACACCCTCTTTATACTTAATTCATTTCTTATCATTCTAATGACAGGTCAGCGCTCATCATCATCGCAAAATTTCAGAGCGTGATTTTGTTGTTGTTCTATTAAAACTTACTAAAATATTCATCAGAAAAGCCCATGTGAACTTGAATTTGATTTCAGGTAAAAGGTGCATTGTTTGAACACGCATTTATATTCATGTAATACAAGTGATTCAGATATAAATATTGATCCAAATATACCTAGAGCTCTCTTCCTGGATAAAATCGCAATACAATCTATGTATGCACTGTCTTTTTTTTTACAATCCAATGAATCGGAAGATTCAAACACCTTATGAAAATATAGAAAGGACGAAGCTGTTTTCAAAGGCAAGGTAATTATTTTTTTAAAAATCTCTCCACGATAATGATAGCAACTACCTTTTCACTGACTAAAAAAAGAAATTACCAACACGTATAACTACATACTATGTTTGATCAGTTAGTAAAAACAAACCACAGTCGGTACGAAGGATAGAAAACAAAAGCGTATTAACAAATACGACTTTAAGGACAATCAGTATTTATGAAGCATATTAATATCTGGTTAAAAGATATCGCATTAATTTAAACTTTATTTTACAATTAAATTAAATGATATTCATATTTTGAAGTATAAATACATATATGTACATAAAAACAATTAGAAATTGAATAAAAAATTTACGGACATGTGTTTTTATTGAAAAAGAATATTTCATTGAAATCACTAAGACTTAATCCTCTAAAGACTTTTTTTTTTCATTTTTTTGACCACCTTATTCATGGACAGCCCTCGTATATTTTATTTTCTTTAAGAAACGTTTAATTCAATTTATTTTCACAAATAAAGAACAGAATAATTTAAATGGAACCCAGAATAAACTGTATCTCAAAAGATCAGTAGTGGGATCAAGTGCAATGAAGGAATAACCATTACTTGCCGACTATTCACACCCGCATGTGTTTCTTGTCATGATCGGGAAATAACGGAAAATCATGCTCAATTCAGTGTATAGAGGACTATAAATTAGTACAGAAAATGCCAATCAGCATTTGATTCAAAAATAGATTGTATTTTCTTACAAGGTCACTGCATCGACATTTGAACTTACTAGACTTTAAACAAGACTGCTGATATTCTTGTTTCATCAACTTGTTCGTCAATAATTTACCTCAATTTAGAAATGTTTCATACGTAGAGTATGCTCTTGCACACCGGATCATCTGATATTTATAAACTCCGTATGCAGGTGATGAAGGTATATTGCTGCATAAGTAAGGAAAGTTGACAATTGTAAAGTTTTTTAATTATCAAGTTTATCATAGATAAATTACCATTTTCGTCTTTTCAATTGGTACCCATGGGGAATGCAATAGATTATTGCAATACCTGAATTCCAGAAGCCACATCAATATTGTAAATCAGAAAAGGAAGCATCTTGTTGATTTCAACTTAAGAGTGTTTTATGTTCAATCAGAATTTTTTTTAACAAAATAGATATATACATTTCTTTCAAAATTAGCTAGTGCTTACATATTTCCATGAATCTTTTTCAAATTTTAACCTCGAAAATTTAATTCCTTGAAAGATAACAAAAATTTTCAGCAAAAATTTTAGACACTCACCCTTGGCCATTACATTTACGAATAGTGTTTGAATGTCCGACTCTGATCACAAACACGAAAAACCGCAACGTAAACAGCCTCATGTTTCAATATTTACTGTAAAGTGAATGCACTTATTGGAAATGAACATAGCTAAAGCGGAGTTGATTTGTTTAAAGATGAAACATATTTCCGTCTTTAATCGGAAAACCTCTACATTTGACAAGTATCAAATAGAAATATACACTTGCATTCCATTAAGAGAACCTCAAACAAAATAAGCTAGGCCAATAATTTAGAGAAAGCAATTGAAACGCAGCTAGGTAAAGCGTCTACATAAGAAATATTCCAAGAAAATTACTACATGTATAAAACACATGTGTAATAGATTTTTTGCGAATAAAAGAAAACAATAAAAGAAAAAAGTTCATTTTTGGCTTATTTTGGCTCAGTGAATATTTGAAAAACTGAAACTGCTCTATTTTGATTAACATACATTAAATATTATTATGACCTTTAGTGATTACATTATTATTATTCCCTATAATTTTTCTTGCCTTAAACTAATCTGTGTTTCAAGATCTTGAGTTAAAGGAAAGAAGAATAATAGGAAAGGAATTAATTTACAAAGTTTAGAATGGAACAAAAAGAGTTTGTTAATAAATTGGTATATCTACAGGGATGATTTACATGTATGCATAAAGTGAACCGAGCTCTTTGATTTCCGATCTGAGAGCATCATGGAAACTAAACCGAATTATAAACTGTGCGATAGAAAGATATATTTTGTGCTGATTTGTATTGGAACTCTTTAGCTGCATATTATAAGACACAGTTTAAAGAAAAAAATGTAGTTCTGATGCAAAATATTGCAGTGTTTTCTTCCTTTACTTATTTTGCATGGGAACAAATTATTCCTTTAACGTGGTTGTGTATCCTTTCTTTCTAGATTTTTATACTACTGGATCAGTCAATCTATATTCTACAAAAAGGGCGAATCGCTCTTTCATCCTTATTCTTGTTCTATTGTTTAAAATGTTGTGCTAACTTCCAGGGAATTAAATAGAGTTTGTCCTTTTAACCTCTTTCTAATGCTTCAAAAAGTTTTCTACAAGATTTATGTCATTTTTTAAAACAACTTATTAATATATCAGTAAAAAGACAGGCAAAAGTAATAAAATGTTTTTTTTTAATTTGTTTCTCTATCCTACCATTGATTTATTCAACAAATGAACTCGTACAATAATAATAAAATAGGCATTTCAACAAGTCATGGTCTTCAGTCTTCATATTCATGATCGATTATATGTTTCTGTTCAGATCCATACAATAATAAGAAACTAATGCAAAAAATTGGACTTGTTTTCTCAAAAAAGACCTTATATTTAATTTTACTTATTCCACTCTCAATCTACGATAGTGGCACTACGCCCCTCCCCCCTTTAAGTAAAAAAACAGAAATGAACACACGTTCCTAGTGTGTACTGCAGTGGAGAAAATAGACCCCAAATGTGTGTTGAATTATATCCATGTTAAAAAAATATTTACATACATGAATATTTACATTTCCAATGTCTTTGTTCGATTGATTGATTGATTGTATATTGTTTAACGTCCCTCTTGAGAATTTTTCACTCATATGGAGACGTCACCGTATGCCGGTGAAGGGCTTCAAATTTAGACCTTTACTCGGCACTGAGGGCCATTGAGCAGTGAGGGTTCTGTATCGTGCCAGCGCCTACCGTGACAAGGGACCTACGTTTTTAAGGTCATATCCGAAAGACCCGTGACTTTCACTTTTAGTGCCGAGCTCTTGGCGAAGGAACAGTCACTACCTTTGTTTACGTCTTAGGTATGACGCGGCGCCGCGAACGAGAATCGAACCCGGGCCTCCCGATCAAGAAGCGAACGCTCTACCGCTAGGCTACCGTGACCGGTGTGTCTTTGTTCCCGGTGTGTCTTTGTTCGAGATAAAATTACAAATTGTAAATGTAATTTATTTCCCCATCAATGTATTGGCGTGGTTCCAAAAAAAAAACCCACGTGCAGGGCGGGACGAACAGCTAGTCAGAAGCAGGACTAGGAGCACGTGGATTGGTGGAATCACAGCACGTAAATATAAGGAATAACTGTCAGATTTTTCAATTTCATGAAGATGATCAATCGATTGGCTTGTGTGATAATTTTATGCTTCGGCGTTTATGCAAATTATCACGCAAGCTAATCGATTGATCACATCATGAAATCGAAAAATAAGACAGTTATTCCTTAATTTTATAACAAATTTTATCAAACATTGTATGTGTACAATGAAGCTTTCAATTTAGATCCAAGGGCAGATCACTCCACTTGCAGAAAACCCCCACAAAATAACAGTTCCTTAGTATGCAGTGTAGAGATGATTCTTCTACATAACAAAATAATAAAATCATGAGATTTCATTTATACAGGGTTCTCAAAATTTAAAGAAAGGACAAACTTTAAACCTACAAAAGTATTGCTAAAAAATTTTATCACTTCTCATGTAAATATTGATTTATTTAGTCAGGCAAGGTTTTTTAAAAGCTGAAACTTGTATCATACAAATATAGCCATTTCAGGATGTCGATTCATAGTTATATAAACTTCACAGGAAAGAATAATGTACGAGCACAAAGTGCAAAGTCAAAATATCATTCTTTGAGGTCGATATATCTATGGATTTAGGGCATGAAATACTATATTTGTTATACTATGTATAAATATAGTAACAGTACAGGTTAAATTTTAATAATAAAAAAGTGTCTCGTTGGGTGCATAGAATCTAATAATCAAAACTTAATTGTTTTCATGACATTGTGTACCGTTTATACTGAATTAATACATTATAATTAAGGAAGTGTAAAAAAATTGGTAAATTTTTTCTATGATTTTTTTGTCAAAATGTATGCTTGAAATATAAAACATTTATGTTATAAATGTACAGTAGATCAACGCTCAGGGCATTGTTACCTCATTCCTTTTGTGACGCCACAGTTACTTGTATGAGTGGGTGTTCTTTATGTAGAGAGTCCGACTCTATCCGAGCTTTTAAAGTTTTATAAAGTTTATAGCTAGAAAGTCTTGGTCCATCCACATTTACTTGTATATACCTTGACATGTGATGCCAAACGAGAGAATGGCGGATCTCCTTATATAATTCATCAAAGCAGCTGATAATGAACTGATAACATAAGAACCACAGAGAATTGTAAAAAATGTTTTATTTTCTCCTTGCATTTCATAAAGAATTTGTGACTGAGAAAAGGAATTAAATATTATGAAATTAGTAGAAATAATTTTTAGAAATAAGAGTGCAAATTGACTTCTTGACAACGGGTTGAAACAGAGATATCTCACCCCTGAGGGCGAAACAGCCTTATATTATATATACTTCCTAGATTCTGTCAGGCCTATGCCAAAACTTGTATTTCAGGGCTTATACACTTGTCTACTAGGTATTTTAAAAACCAATACTTTGTAATTGAATGAGGAATTTATTTCAATCGTGAGATAGGATTTTGTTATTTTCCGCACTTGTGAAAATAACTTGTATTTAGCGGACTTGAGTTCAATACTCATTCTCGCACGACCTTGGCGTTTACATGTAACAAAATAAGTGAAAGATTCTGGAAAAGGAGAAAAGCTATAAAAAGATTAATCAACCTAGCAGTCAGATCGCACATCACTTTTTTTTCCTTTTGAATTATTATAAAACTAAATAATCACAAATGATGGTTTTCGGTGAGACTTATCACACAAATAAATTTTCTTTGTCATTCCAGGCGTGACGTTCCTACGTTCCTCTTAGACACTAATTCAAGGAAAACCAGATAACTTCCATAAAATTCAATTGATTTCAGATGCCGATATTGTATACATTGGCTTAAGATACTGTTTTTTGTGTATTATATCATCTTCATCATTATTTTCCTCACGGAATTTATTGTCATCTCTCGTCTCGAAAGAAACACAGCATTTAACACATTTCATCACAGAATCTTCTAAGACGCAGCGAGTTTGTTTACATGATTTGCTGTCATCCAAATTCTCCTAAAATTATATTCAATTCTTTGAGTATTAATAAAACAGTCATCCATCATATCAAATGCAATCCTTACAAAAGCATGTTTTTAGTTATTATCATAATGGAAAAAGAATATAAAATTAAAACAAATATCATAAATAAACCAGAAGTCTCTGTCGAGACTGTAGCTCTACTGGTTTGTACTTATCAAAAACCATTGCACTATTTTATGTATCTTTGTGTAGTCTACTTGTGTGCCAACTTATTTTGAAATCAAACTAAAACTGTAGAAGGAGTAGCGTTTTAAAGGAATTTCACAGAAAACTCTATTTTTAGTAACTATGGTAACACCTTTCATCAAAATCAAAAACCGATACACTATTCTATGTATGTTAGTGTAGTCTACTTGTGTGCCAAGTTATATTGAAATCAGACCAAAATTGAGGAAGGAGTAGTGTTTTAAAGGAATTTCACAGAAAATTCTATTTTTAGTCACCATGGCAACACCGTTCATCGAATCAAAAACCGATGCACTATTCTATGTATCTTAGTGTAGTCTACTTGTGTGCCAAGTTATATTGAAATCAGACCAAAATTGTAGAAGGAGTAGCGTTTTAAAGGAATTTCACAGAAAATTCTATTTTTAGTAACCATGGCAACACCGTTCATCGAAATTAAAAACCGATGCACTATTCTATGTATCTTAGTGTAGTCTACTTGTATGCCAAGTTATATTGAAATCAGACCAAAACTGTAGAAGGAGTAGCGTATTAAAGGAATTTCACAGAAAATTCTATTTTTAGTAACCATGGCAACACCGTTCATCGAAATTAAAAACCGATGCATCATTCTATGTATCTTAGTGTTGTCTACTTGTGTGCCAAGTAATATTGAAATCAGACTAAAATTGTAGGAGGAGTAGCGTTTTTAAAAATTGTTTACAGACAGACGGACAGACAGACAGACAGACAGACAGACGGACGGACGCCGGACGCATTACTATCGCATAAGCTCTTCTGGTCTCTGACCAGTAGAGCTAAAAAGGATTAATTAACTAAATAAATTAATAACTTTTTTATATGCATAAATTGATGTAAATTATAGACATTGACTCTACAAGTGGCCCATGGGTCACATTGCTCACGTGAGCTAGAAAAAAAATCATTTTAGCATTGTTTATACTACTTAAGGATGCCTTCTTGTTGTAGCATATAACTGTTAGCATATAAATCTGTTCTTGAAAAATAAAACTTGTACTTCGAAAAATTATTGACAACTCATCGTGACCTTTCCCGCCGCCACCCCATCCAAGGATCCATGATTTGAACAAAACTAAATCTTCACTTCATGAGAATGCTTCTTTGTCAATATTACATAGCATAATGTTTCTGTTCTTTAAGAGATTTTCCTTTATAAATATATATTCTTGTGTCAGATCTTGTGAAAAAAAAATTATTAAGATTTTATTTTACTATGTATTTCTAAAATTCAAATATAATTTCTAATGTGAATACATTTCTATTGTTAAACCATTTTGGCCCCGTCCCATATACCCCCGGGGATCATGATATGAATTAACCTGAATCTACCATTCCTATGAGTGCTTCTATATAAATGTCACAAGTTATGGTTTTGATTAAAAAAAAAGAATTTTCAAAATATTTTCTTTTTAAGGACAAAGGCAATGTACCTAAAATACTTATAATTTTTCATGATATTCCTAAATTAAGATTAAAGCGTCATCAGATGTTCATACATGTAGACAAAAAGTCAGCATGCATTACCAGGGGTTTTTGAAAGATATTCATTGATGAAAGTTCTTTGATGATTCAAAGAAAAATACATCAAAAATTACTAAAAATATATATTCTAGATGTTTTTTTTTTTTTATCTAAATTTGTATAAGAAGAAGTTTACAACACCATATATAGGCATTAAAAAAAGTGCACAGTTCCTTCAAGAATTGGAATTCTTCAACTCCATAGAAAAAGACAAAAATGTCTAAACTACGTTGCGTATGTCCTTAAATCTTTGATTTCCCGTTATAGTTTCACCCTATCCGCAGGGTTCATGATGCATGCATAAACAAACTTAAATATACATCATCCCAAGATGCGTCAATATTAAAATTACCAATTAGATATTTATCTGATATATATTTCTGGGTTAAACTTTGATAACCTAATTTGCCTCTACCTATTCCCATACGCGTGGTCCTGATTTGAACAAACTTTAACCTACATTATTTCATAAGGCTTTCCTAAAGGTTTCATCACTTATAGCCTACTTAGTTTATATTCTTTTATATACCCAACAAATTTTCGGTATTCCTTAGTTATCTCCTTGGAAGGGGTTGTTACCCACCGTTTGAGCAAACTTAAATGCCCTTTATCTTTAGATAATCTTTGTCAAGTTTGGTTAAAATTGGTTCAAGTCGAAAATGTTAAAAATTTATGGCGACAACAAGGGCTACAGAAAACAGACAGATTTTGATTAGTAAAGCTCACTTGAGCCTTCGGATCGGATTAGCTAATAAAGAATATAATCATCATAAAAATATTACAAATATCTTTACCTCTCTTGAGTTAGAGGATCCATCATCTTTTGGAATAAGTTCAATATCACATCCTGGGTCTGATGTATTAGGTAAATCTGAGAAAAGCAAAGAAATGAACAAATACGCACAAAAAAAATAGCTTTTGAAATGGCTCAAAACAGAAAAAAGAAATTTATTTGAATCATTGCACATCTGAATATCTAAAGCCCTACTGTTCTGCAGCATACATTGTATTTGTTTCCAATTACACTGATCTCATTTCGTACAAAGACAAGTGTTGGCACGATAAAGATCCCTCAATATATATATATATATATATATATATATATATATATATATATATATATATATATATATATATATATATATATATATATATATATATATATATATATATATATATATATATATACATTAAATGGTCACGGATGGAAATTTATAAAAAGCACTAAAATTGACCAAAGGCACGAACAATAAAAATTGTCAAATTTTCGGGACGCCCTGTCCCTTCCTCAGGACAAAGAAAAAAGTTTAAAAGTCATAAGAACAAAGGAAAATGAGAAACAAAAACAACTAGCATTACTACTAAACTACTAAACACTAGATATTTACATACTTAATTACATGTTGAATTGGAAATTTTTAAGAACACCAATAAAGAAAGAAATCCGGACCGCTATGAAATGCGTCCGGTCTATCGGGTATACTCGGGTGAAGTGCGATTTGCATAATTGAACGAATTAATTATGCTAATTAATTACAACAATCAGTAAATCGTACATTGTTTCATTCTCTCAAAATGGCGTAACTTTACTTAATAAAGAATAATCAAAGAAAAATAATATAGCAGGGATATTTAAACATAGGAATTATGATCAATTATTAATTTTGAAATATTTAAGGACTTAATACCGGGAAAAAATAATTAACAAAGGCGTAAGCAATACATAGTTATGTGGGTTGTTCGAGAGTTGGTGACGCAAATTAACTGTAGAGTTTACACTGGATTGAGAGAATAATCTTGTTTAGTATCATCAGGAATTGGGTCTAGTTTACGTTCATTCTGGTGAAGTCATTCAGTTTGTTAATACCATTAGGGCGGAATGACTTCAATCTGTGCATCCAGAACTTTTCTTTGCTTTTTCTCTGAGCATCTGTCCATCTTGGGTTATGGTCAATCACCACTAATGTCATGTCCTCCCATTTGTGACCCTCAAGGTTGAAATGTTCCCCAACGAGTTCATTGAGTTTTTTGGTCCTAATGGTTGAACGGTGGTTATTGACTCTCCTGCGGAGATCTCCTGTTTCACCAATATACTGTTTGGAGCAAACTTTGCAACTGATGAGATAAATGCAGTTGTCAGTATGACAGGACAAATTCCCTAGTATTTTGTAGCTGCGGCTTGTAACAGGGCTGTTAAAACTGTCTGTGTATGTGCTGTGCTTACAAAGAAGACATCTTCTGTCAGAGCAAGTTTTAAAGCCCCCGTTAGGTAATGGGTTGTCAAGTCTGGTTCTTACTACCATGTCCTTTAGGTTCCTTGGGCGTCTGTATGCAGCCAATGGGGGGTCCTTAAAGACGTCTGCCATTCGTTTGTTTGAATGGAGAATTGGTAGGTTCTTTTGAAGGATACCGCTAAGGTTCTTAAGGACGGGGTGGTATGTGGTTACCAGAGGGACCCTGCCGCTATTGTCCTTCTCCTTGTAGCGTAATAGGTTTTGCCTGTCATGTCCCGCCTTCTCATCAATAGCTGTTTGTACGGTGCGGGCATTGTATCCTCTTTTGCATAAGTGGGACTTAAGAAGACCACTTTGCTCCTGATATAAGGCAGGGGACGAACAGATGCGTCGAATTCTGGTGGCTAGACCCTTAGGCACTCTCTTAAAAGTGTGTGGGGGATGACAGCTAGAGGGCATAAGATATAGGTGGGAGTCTGTGGGTTTGGTGTGGAGACTGAATTCGATTTCACCATCAATCAGGGTAGATGTAGTATCTAGGAATACGTTTTTCGAATGAGTTACGTCTACTGTCTACGTCTACGTCTAACTAGACCCAATTCCTGATGATACTAAACAAGATTATTCTCTCAATCCAGTGTAAACTCTACAGTTAATTTGCGTCACCAACTCTCGAACAACCCACATAACTATGTATTGCTTACGCCTTTGTTAATTATTTTTTCCCGGTAATAAGTCCTTAAATATTTCAAAATTAATAATTGATCATAATTCCTATGTTTAAATATCCCTGCTATATTATTTTTCTTTGATTATTCTTTATTAAGTAAAGTTACGCCATTTTGAGAGAATGAAACAATGTACGATTTACTGATTGTTGTAATTAATTAGCATAATTAATTCGTTCAATTATGTAAATCGCACTTCACCCGAGTATACCCGATAGACCGGACGCATTTCATAGCGGTCCGGATTTCTTTCTTTATTGGTGTTCTTAAAAATTTCCAATTCAACATGTAATTAAGTATGTAAATATCTAGTGTTTAGTAGTTTAGTAGTAGTGCTAGTTGTTTTTGTTTCTCATTTTCCTTTGTTCTTATGACTTTTAAACTTTTGGACATTTGTATAACTGCCTGAATAGCCGAACATGGCGAAAGCGCTTGCAGTAAATGTTTTGTGATATTTTTGGATTTTTACTTTTAAATATATATATATATATATATATATATATATATATATATATATATATATATATATATATATATATATATATATATATATATATATATATATATATAAAGCACTAAAAATGACCAACGACACGAACAATAAAAATATATATATATATGTTACATTTAATGGTGTGACAAAATCTTATACGCTGGTCAAGATAAAAAAGCAACACGCGGGTTATGTAAATTTTTCTGCAATAGCTGCGACCGTTAATTCCAGTATAAACAAACAAAGAAAGACATTTTATTGTTTATATTTATATCTGTTTAAACAATCATTTAAAGTAGGATTGAAAAGATTAATTATTGTAATAATGATGCGAACGTCTTTATACGTTTCATTGATGGAACAGCCACTGATCAAGAAATCTGTACAGGCGACATGCCTAATGTAGTCCATGCAGTGATTAACGCAATGGGTTTCTTAAGAAATTAAAGAGAAAATATTAAGTGGATGTAAATATTCAACAGCAAGGAGTAATCTTTGATGGCCAAGCTGTTTTGAGAAAAAAGATGCTGAAGATGTTACCGTGATATTTTACTCATTTGAAATTTATTCCTGAAAATAGCATGTTACTTCATTTGAAAGACTTCAAATCATTTGGACGAAAAGATACACATGTACATCTATAAAACTGATAAAGGTTGATTTGAAACCTTACTTGAGCATTCAGCTGATCTTATCTAAAAATTCCGAAAAATTAGAAGGGCAAACAGCCAAATACTCAGTACAGTGATTACCATAACAAGCATGGGAAAAGCTTAGGTTAGAAGAACATGATTTGGTGTGTAAATAACATTTGTTTCAAATTCATTGAATTATTATGTTGAATAAAAAATTAATCGGGAATGTAAATTCGTGGATGAAGATGACAATCGAAATTTACAAACTAGGAGAAATCATTATTATGAATAAGCAACTGTGATTTTTGACTTTAAATTAGTAAGGACCATATTAAAATAAATTTACGTCATTTTTCTAGAGGTAATCTGAAGAATAATTTCAATATTTCATATTTCTTGTTGTTACACCTTTAAAAATCACAAAGTGTATTTCCTGTGTTTTAGGAAAGTAGGATATGATTTTAATGTAAAACGCTAGAAAAAATATAAAGAAATCACATGGAAACAATTTTTTGCAACTAACAGATAATTTGAACTCACAATCATTGGTTGTCTGGTCTTAGTCAAAAGAAGCTATTGTACATTAACACATATCTTAGATATTGTCTGGAAACTTAATGGTTACAACAAAACAGAATGACAGATAAACAAACGAAAAAACACAATTTAACACCCCATCTCTAGTTATAGCAGGAGACCACAATCTGTTTGGCATAGCCAATTTCAATTTATGATAGCAATCATATCATTATGAAAAGTTAATTTGAAATATCTATTACAACACAGTATAGTAAGCATACCAGGATTGAGTTCTTGTGATCTCCTTTTCTGTCTCTTTTTTCTTTTCCAAATGAGAAAGGCCAAGCTCAAAAATACAAAAAAGGCTAACAAAACACCAAGGATAATCACAAAAATCGTTGCTGCATTGGTGGATTTGTCTTGAGGATGTGATGCATCTTGAAAATTCATTTTTGTATTGTTGGCTGTAATATTCCATTTGCTGTTTCTAAAAGAAGTCGAATTATAATAATAAAAAAACATAGGCAAGAACATTACTATTAAAACTCAAGAATATTGTGGACTGAAAAAATACAACTGCCTAATATGTGAAATATTTCTCCTTGTAATCTCATCATATACATTAACCATAGGTTTATTTTTACCTACATATCAAAATCATTCCACATCTTCACTAGCATTGTTTTAATAAATCTATACATATAATCAATTTTCAATCCACCCTTACTCTTATTTGTAGCATTATTTGAGGAATCCGCGCTACCAAGTATATCTTTTAAGATGTACACTGAACCTAACTTCTAAGTGTTCACCTAACATTTTCTAAGTGTTAAAGAACAAATGCATACAAAAAATAATTTCTTTAATTCATGGTTAATGACGCATATTTCAGTTCGATGTTGTGTAAATTTCATGTCAGTATCTCGTCAGAATTTCAAGTAAGGTGTCATGGAAATTATGTACCCTTAAATGAAAATTTACAGAACAATATTTATTAGAATAATATTTGTATTTATGTATTTAAAGGTACTTGGACACAAATTGGAAGTTATTATTTTCTCTAAAATATTACGACTTATATATTTTTATAGCATTACACACAAAAATTAATTAAAAGTCTTACTTCGTTTAAAAGATACTGAAAGTTCAAATTTAATTTTATTCTTAATCCTTAGGAAAAGTGGCAATTTCGTTTTGTATAAATGAAAAATATTAATGCTATAATCCAGAAAATTCAGAGTAGGCACGTTCGAAAGCAAAACAAACATATAATATATTGTCAGTCCGTGCAGTTGTGGTAAGCAGACTGTGAGGATTAAACGCACCCGGTGAATTCTAAATATAAACAATAACAGAACTCTAGCCCTGTTTACAAAAACTGTGTACATAACACGAGTGTTCTCGATTTGCTAAACTCTGTACGCATCTCTTAGTTCGGAATGACGATACTTGTGAAGGTGTTTTGCTTTCTAACATTTCTACTCTGAAGAAAATTTTTTTTCTTGATAAAAGTTATAATATTTATCTGTTATAATATATCTCATTAAAACACATCAAAATTGCCACTTTTCCTAAGGATTAAGAATAAAGATAAAATTTGTGAAAGTGCAAGGATGTGTCAATCAAACCCGCCAAAAAAATTTAAAGTTTTAATAACTTTTAAATGAAACAATATTTTTAATTAATTTTTGTGTGAAATGCTATTAAAATATATAATTCGTAAAATTATACAGAAAAAATGAGAAAATATTAACATCAAATCTGTGTCCAAGTACCTTTAATGCAATAATTTGTTTGGAGGTTTCCGGAAACATTTAGGTTGGTAAATTGTGAAAAATCTCAGATCCACGCCTTGCCTGATGGATCTATGGAATAAGACAACCACTCCCCCTAATTACTGCAAGATATCCTCTCCTGTTGGATACCATGTATCCCCGAATAGGAAATTAAAACATCTGCTGCAACACCTATTGCATATATCTTTCAAAACGGTTGAAATTGTGTGGATGTGTGGGGGTGATATCTTTATGAATATCAAAAACGTGTTCAATGGAATCCAGATACGGGGTTTTGACAGTGTATCATCATTCAGAGGTTTTTGGTCAATATCTCTGGACGTTTAGTACGTAAGTACACCGCTTCAAGGATGATTTAGACTGCTTGAGATGATATTAGACCGCCACGAGCACCATCATTTTCATACCATTGAAATGTTTGTTTTTGTGTTTCTAAGATTATGTCAAAACAATTTTGCACTTTTTTAACCTGGTGTGACGCGAAGCTGCGGTCTCAGGCAAAGATTAAGGTCATTTCCGGTGTGTTAAAATTGTGTCCAAAGCTTTCAATTTGCGATAAATTGGGGATAAAAATGACGCATAGCCTATAGAAAAAAGAAAAATGTGTTTAAATGGCTTTTATACAAAAAGTTTCATGATGAATGTTCAAGAAACAAGAGAAAACATTCGCTGACAAAATTCGTCGCTTTATGCAGGTTTCCATGGCAACGGTAGCCATTTTTAAACTGAATGACCACACAACACAACTACAACCGGTGGTCGCCCTTCGAAGAAAGTTTCGAAGGAATATTGTTCGAGCCATCTCCGAGAAATAACAAAAACATGCGTACAATCGCAATATGTCGCCTGACTTCGTTCGGGGCGACATAATAAAAGTGAGTAAAATGCGGTGCAAGGACGATGCAGATATCAACATTCCTACGCCCCTACCTTCTTTCTCATTGTCATTTTGCCAATTTTTTTTTTTTGTGAGACTAGTTTTTAAAATTTGATAATGATTACAAAAAGATGTTAATCTAACAAAACTCATGACACATTGTACAGTTTTATTTTCTTAAGCTTGGTCACGGAACATTGGTTTTTATTGGTGATATTTGATTTTCTTTCAACAATTGTTGAGATGTCTCGTTTGTTGTAATATTTGAAAATATCATACCATTCTATATACTAGTAGTAGTTTAAAAATAGATACATTTTTAAGTGAAAATTCAGAAGTTTTGTTAAGTGTATTATTTTGGTATCACAAAAACAACACTGCAATGCTTTCATATGTAAATAAAATATACATGACTGTTAAGAAACCCTTTTCTTGCACAGTTATTGATATATTTGGAAAAATGGGTATAAAAAACAAGGTTTCGGCGGTCATGCCTTTTCCCTTCTTTTAATGGTAACAATATGAACAAAGTTTAACATGCCATATCTTGAAATATCTGAGTAGCACTGTTAAAAAATCTTCCTATTTTTAGAGTGAGAAATCGTTATTCATTTTTAGACCAAACCCAATGTAGGGTTAGCATTACGGTGAGGGTTAAGGCTAGGGTTAGCCTGCTAGGGTTAGGTTAGGGTTAAATTTGCTATCCCATAGAAATTGTTAACCCACCCTTACCTTGGGAATGAGTTTATAAACTCGAAATAAACTTAACATTCATCTCTCATATGTTTCAATTTTTCAAATGACATTGGCACGTTACACTAGTGTCTGAAGCAACACAGTTAAGAGTCATTTCCTGCCGATATTTCAAATATTCATTCAACCGCGCACTTGTTTCAAGAATTTTAAAATATCTTGGAATTACAGTGACAGATGTGAAAGCTCTGATGATTCACAAAAGGAACATTTTGACGTTTTTTCCGTAGCCAGTCAAAAGGACAACCAGCCTATCATGTAGATAGATGTACATATAGTTCAGTAATTTTATATTTTGTTTTAGCACATTGCATAAAACAGTCGTTTAGCCAGTTACGAATTTTGATCAGTTCTAAATAAAATTAATTAAAGGTTAAATAAAGAGTTGATGATTAATAGCTTTAAAAGTGTAAATATAATTTGATTGTATCAATACTTTTTTATTAGTGTTTGAATTATTTGAAGATTCCATTTTTTGTCGTTATTTATGTTAGTTTGTGTTTGATATCGTACCTAAAATAGTCGACATACTATTAGATTGGATCACATCTGAATCACTGTGACTCGTGTGTATGCGAAAAAAAAGATTGAGGTAATGTGAGCGCTAGGCTTACTAAATGATACCCCCGCCTCTCGTGTGGTAAAGTCCATGTTTTGCTCTTAAAGACCAAAAATAAGTGTCAGATGAAAAAGTAAAATAGAAGATGTACAATGCAAAAAAATGTTTCATCACCCTGATTCAGTTGTTTCATCACTCTGCTGTCTGGTAAAGTTGTAACATTCTTGATCTATTAAAGAAAGATATGACTCAAGGTTTGACAAGCATACTTATAAACACAAAACATCCATCTTCTACTAGAAGTAAATTCTTAAAAGACTCATGTCTCAACTCATTAACATTTTAGATTAAAATGTAAAATGATTGCCGTCTGATATTTAGCATATAGCGTAGATGTTCAAGAAATTAAATCAGTCATCTTATTTTAACTTACATTTGTAAACATCGCCTGAATTATATATCTTTGGGCATTGCTTACACTTTGCTTCATGATTCGTTTGGATTATTTTTCCAAGGAAGTTGTATTCAGCACAGTGTCCTATATAAAATGAAAACAAATCAAATTCAACAAATCTGCACCTACTAAGAAATATTTGCAATTATGAACTGAAAAAAAAACACTCATAAGTCTGCCGTTTCCATGAATATGTCTTTATCTACTTAATAGAATGGTAGATATTTTCAAATTATTACAACAAATGAGTCTTCCAAACAATAGTTGAAAGAAATTAAAATATTACAGTCGAAAACCAATGTTCCGTGACGGAGCTAAAAATCAACAAATTTGTACTTTGCTTACTAAACCCCAAGGGATATTGACCAAAAGGTATTTGAGTGATCATGCACTGCCATATCCCCGGATTTTTATAAGCAATGTAAAAGCCCCCCCCCCCCCTCGTCAAAATTTTATCGGTTTGGAAAAATGTAGGCAGTAGGTGTTGCAGCAGATGGGAGATGGGTCAATCTCCTATGCGGGGGTACATGGTATCCAACAGTAACGGATGCCCTGCAGTAATTAGAGCGAGGGTGGTCTTACCAAAAGAGTTTTTTTTATGAAAATTTTCATTTTGAGGGTACATCATTTCCTTGACAGTTTGCTTAAAATTCTGACGAGATACTTACATGAAATAAAAGCAACTGAAATATGCATCATAACCATGAATTTAAGAAATTTTTGATCATGAACATTTATTCTTTTTAATTAAAAAAAAATATTGCATGAACACTGTGTTTGCATTTATATTTGAGAATTTTTACCCCATATTGAAATTTCACCACTTGTTGTCGAAGGGCCACACATTTGGATCTATACTTACACTCAGGACAATTGAGTCGCGATGTTGTTTTTTTTTTTGCTTGTCAGCACCTACTGCGACACGGACCCTCGTCTTAGAGGTTCTCATTCGAAAGACCAGTTTTCACGAAAACATAGAGGTCGAACCCTAGAGGACCTCGAAACATAGAGGAGCAAACACTCTAACTACTGCAACACGCAGACTACTATACTACATTTGTAGTATATGTGTGTCGGTAACTTGATGTCAGCTGAACTATATACATGTACTGTGTTCTGCGAATTTTCAGGGATTGTTTGTGGAGCTGCAAAAAGTCAGAAAGATTAAATAGAAAAGGGAATATTTTATCTGAGACAAAATCCATTGACAACGGATGAACATGCAACTAAACTCTTAAACACACATAAAAGAAAAAAAAACTTCACTTCATGTAATACTACACACTACTATGTTGGAAATTCATTCAAAGAAATAGAAGACTATGGGGCTAGATAAAGTAAAACCAGAATCAATCTTTTACTTAATTTATTTTTTTTTTAATCAAATGATGCATTCTCGTATTAAATATTTTTTTCGCCCTGAGTATTCTTTAAATCATAGTTTGCAATTGTTAAAATGCATTGATCAACACATATCTCTCATAAGTTCAAAATTGACAATAAAAAAAAACCACTAGCTGTCGAAGATTACAGATTACGTTCAGATTCATATAAATATATTAAAACAGAGTTCTGCATATTTATCTTATTTGGAGCTATCATTCTTGTTAAAATCTATTTTGAAACTTACCTTAAGATATGATAAAATGGAGTCAAAATAAGCAAAGTAGAGCTAAAAGCAACTTTTAGCAGTAAACAATTATAATCTTTAAAAAATATCCCCCATATCCTAGTAAATACCAAAATGTAACTGAACATATGTTAAACAAAGAGATTATTAAAAAAAAATAAATAATGTAAAATGTGGCATATACCAGAAAAAATTCTACTTTCTTGAGCACATACTTCCACCGTGGTATTACGAAAATGGTTTAAGAGACAATGATACACGTAAGGCTTTGGTTCAGAACAGTTATGTTGTGTGGTCAAGTAAGTACAGTTCTTTAGAAGGGATTGTTTTCTCCATTCTGCAATATTCTTGGGGCAAGAATTAACAATTTCCTCCGAAGCTTCAGGGAATCCACAGCTCTCTCCAGAAACCAAAATTCGCAAAAACTGTAATATAAGAAGCCCAGTTCAAGATATCTAAGTACATGGTTGCTGTATATGATGCATATGTATTCTAAGAATTACTCCAATGGCACAAGAAAAAAAGATATATACAATTTATTACAATAGAAATGAGACTAGAGCTAAATTACACAGTCAATACAATACACAACCTACATGTTATAGATACATGTACGTCCCTAACAGAATCATGAGTTTGCTTTCTGTTTTCGTTTTGGCTCCGCTAGATATGTCTATGCACCAAAGGCCGATATATATTATTATAATATATGCAAATGGTTAGATTAACTCTCTACAACTTACTGAACTGTAAGGCAACATACACTTAATTTTCGTGAACGTCATATTTTTGTTCACATAATAGAAATATGACGTTTCCTTTTCCCTGCAAGCACTTTTAAACGAGGTACAAGTTAAGTGTTAATAATATTGATAATATTATTTTAATAAGTAAATAAGTAAGTAAGGTTTCGGAATTTTCAATTTCACCCTGGGGGTCAAATATACGACTATTTTTGCGACGATCTATTTTTCGCTTTTTCTGTGATCAATTTTGATTCGCAAAGTATAAAACTCGCAGAAATAATGTCAGCTATTTTGTGCCATAAAACATAATCATTCTTAAAAGAATGGCAAAAAAAAAACCATTTATACCTGTTGAAAAATCATCACAATCAATAGACTTGTTAATAATCATCTCCCAAACGATGATTAGGATACTGTTTAAAATGTAACAGTAGTTTGAGGATTTGTTTGACAGACGGACGGGCGGACGAACATGGGTAACAACAATATATCCGAACTTTCATTACAAAGTGCGGGTATAACAAAATAAATACCGTAAATCTGGAAATTTTTACTGTAGATAAATTTTTAGCAAAATTGCGCGTGCATTGCATTCGCAAAAATACTTTTCTTAAAAATAAATCAACATGTGAAGAATTTTTTTCTGAGAACTCGTGTCTTTTTTTAACTCAGTGAATGGGCGTCAGTAAGCACTGGTCATTTTTAAAAGAAACCTGTTTACACAAGTCTACGATATAACTACAAGTTAATTACCCATGCGTGTAAATTGCCCTCATTATATGCAATATCGTCCGATGATTTGACAAGCATTGAGGCGTTAATCCCCTTTTTAATTATTTCATCATTTAATTTGCCAATAAAGAGAGAACTGTAATTTTATCTAACCGTGTATCAACACGGGCGATAACTCAAAATCAGTGCATTTACTAGAAAGTTCCAAATGTTAACGCGGCGTATAAATTTTAGGTGAGAAAAAACCAAACGTTGAGAAAATTAGTTATATTTTTTCTCCATTTGGATTATACTTTAGATAAAGGCATACACAACCTCTAAAATGTTTGTTATAATTGATTTAGAAATTATTTTCAGTGCAAATCCTTTTGTATTTTTATCAAAATTGTTTTGGATTGATTTTGCAATTTCTTGCCACGTTGCGAGTATATTGGTGGAATTCTAACTGGGCATATTATTTGAAAAATAACCTGATATGAAAATCTTCAGTGATTTTTATTTTTAGCACCAGTGACAATTCGCAAAAATTTGAAGCGTAAAAATTAATCAACAGCTTTTTGACCCAAATTCGCAAAAATAAATCGACGTAAAAATTTCCAGATTTACGGTAAATGTAGCATGCAGCCCGGAGAATTACTATATATCAATTTAAAATATTGTGTACTAAATGTATTATATTTGGCGTGTATGATATTCATTTCTCAGAACGTTACAAGCGTAGCGTGGATTTGATTAAGCGCTTTCTGAATTTGATAATATGCCAGTAAAATATAAAAGACATTAAGCTTTTTACATGTACTTGATTTACTGAATTCTATTTTCGCTATACAGAAAACGCAACCATATATAGTTCGTTTACAGTTATGCATATTTTTTTAAGATAATGTTAATACATGTACAATGTAATTGATTTACACGTACACTCACTTTAACACTCTTTGTTTGCATATATTCAATGTTAAGCATTGCATTGAATAACACAAACAAGTCCACTGGTCAATGCATTTGATGTTTAATCCCAATTAACAATTTTTTGTCATGTTGATTGGTCGACGCGAAGATTGATTAATCGCTAATCTTGATTGAATGCTCTGTTATGTGATACCAAACCCGCAAACTCTTTCTTGTGCCCTGTTCACACGGAGAGTTTAATTCGAATTAAACGTAAAGTTAACGCGAATTAGCTTCGCTTAGCGTTCACACGGAGAATTTAATGCGAATTAGTTTAATTCGAATTAGTTTACTGCGCATTAAATTACTTCGCATTAGCTCCGTGTGAACGCTAAGCGAAGCTAATTCGAATTAAATTTTGACGCATGCGTAAGGCCAGAATTAAGTCACAGGACACATGTTGGTGGTTAGATATATGTATTTGTGCTATATTTGGTTCAAAAATTGAGGGAAAGTATGTTAATCACTAAAATCAATGAATACCTGTAGCCACCACATGATGTATCAAAGGATGGCTCTGCACACATGACGTGATTTACAAATGACGTCATAATAGACTTACAGACGCCTGACTGTAGAAGTAAAATTTTAATTCGCATTAGTTTACTTCGCATTACCTGTCGTGTGAACGCAATTTAATTCGCATTATTTTGATTCGCATTAGTTTACTTCGCATTAATTTACTTCGAATTAAACTCGTCGTGTGAACAGGGCATTGGAATCTGCTCAATTTTGGGTTTGCTTTCAGCTTTTGTTCCTGGTCCGCTTTGGGTTTGCGATGCAATCCGGGTTCGCTTTCTGTAAGGATGTGTCAGTACTGCCCACATGTTACATTTACCAAACCACACAGACTTCTTTACGGTTTACAAATGACATAATGAATTTTATCCCATGTTTACCCCTTTATCCCGTGGATATGACCCATTGGATAAATTTTTTATATCCCACAGTTAATTGCCGTAATGACGTCACAATGGTTTTGCGTTAGCATGATGAAGTAAAATAAAGTAGAGTGCTGTATAAAACAGTGTATAACATCGGTTGTGAAGCATTAAACATGGGATAAAAAGAATCTCCCATGATTTGTAGTTGGATATGATTTTCATCCAACTCGTTGTGTGTTTATATACGGATAAACATCACACAACTCGTTGGATAAAATCATATCCAACCACAGATCATAGGAGATCCTATATATACTTTGTACCAAAATTACTCTTATGCTATTCTAGTCTCTAAAGTATCAAACAAATGTGTTCTATGATCATTGAACAACTTTTTAATGCAGGTAGTGTAGTCTTCCAATAATAATGTATTAGAGATTCGTCTTCAAGTGAATATACATTTTCATTTGTAACAGTATAATCTTACTAGAAATGGCATCCATTTTTTCCTCAACACCGAGACTGCTAACAATCCATAAATAACAAATTCTGTAAATAAAATCAAATCATTTCAAAATTTTCTAAAAGCATGAGAAATAAGAACTATTTAGTGATGTGATTTGGCCCGTATGATATGATAACATACAAAACAGGGTTCGCATATTCATAACCCACTCATTTTGAGGACTTGATTATTTTTAATCAGTTTAGACTGTTCGGCATTTGAGAAAGACGGTGTGAGACTTTGGTGATTTTTGAAGAACTAAAATACTAGTACTAGTTTAATTTATTAAATTTGTGAAAATGTTATTTTTTAACACTTTCTTAAATGTGAAATTTGTAAGAAAATACATTATCAATCAAAGTAGAAATAATTGACAGTTACTATTGTGCATCTTTTCATTCAGAGCAATTAAACTAAAATTTCCAGATTTTCAAAATGTAAAATATCATTGTAATAAAAATATTTCAAACCAATGAAAGTGCAATAAACATGTTGTTTAATACATGTATGATCTATCTTGTCTGAATGACATTGAAACCGTAAAGATGCTTTTTATGAGGAATGCTAATTGTAATTGTATGGCGGAAATAAGACATTGAAAAGGGTGCTAAATTAAAACATTTGATGACTTCATCAAGAATTGTTTTAGTGAATAGCCGCAATCAAATTTAGCAAGTTTGGTTGTGCCCCCCCCCCCCCACTTTACCTCTAATATATAATTACTCTGTATGGGCCTAATGGGAGAAGAGCGATAACAAAAATATGAAAAAAAGAAAACATGTACATGTATGTCAAGTTTTGTGTGAGTCTAGCTACATGTACACTAATTAAAAAAAAAATATTGAGCAACAATTTACCCCCACCCCTAAAAAAATCAACCCAACCGGGACAAAAGCAGCAATTATTTTAAATTACTTTGAAAAAAGAAAGTTATGGCAAAAAATTATCAAACCATTTATGTTTAACGACATCTTTCTCCAGCACTATGAAACCAAAAGTACAAAAAAATATATCCAACCGGAAATAACTTTTTACACATACGGTTTAACCAATCGCATCATCTCGGGTCTTTCCGTGAGAGGTCGGAAAAACAACTTCGAGGTCGTTTTTCCCCTAGTCGGAAATTAAGGCCCGAGAAGTTGCGATCGACGGTCTAACGTTGGATCTAATGAATTTGTACCCCAAGCGAGTTTCCTATGTTGAGATTAGTATTTTTATTGCTATATAGATACATGGCACTCTTATCTTTACCCAATATAATATGATAAACTTACCTTGATTGAAGGTTTTCCATACACTGTACCATTGAGTGGAAAATTATGTCTTGCAGTTGATAATAAAAAGTCATACAGTATACACAGGTTATTCCCAATCGAATACAAAATAATCATTATACTTTAATTTCTGGTCCTGTAGAGACATGAAATTTATGTCGACAATCCAGGATATGGCCTTACAAGTTATTTCGTTTTAGATATCAGATGAAGTGTTAAAAAAAAAAAACTAAGGCATCCCAAAGCACAATGCACATTCAATATAACTTTTAATACCACATGAATGTATATCAATTCCATTTTGTTTTAAATTTCCTTTTTTCACGAAAAATCCAGCAGAGATTTTACACATACGTATAAGATCCCTTTTCTCATCCATTGTCATCAACTGTTTCTTACAGTGTCAAAAAATAAAATAACACTACCTTTACAACTTTCGTTTTATCAATTCCAGTAAATAAGCTGCTATTTTTACCTAGATAGGGTTTCCGCGGGTAGTCGTACGCCTGAAATGACTTAATCTTTCTTGTTTCGACCACTCAGATCACACCTGACTTCCGACGCCGATAACAATGAAACAGACACAGTGTACACACAATACATTCCACATGTGTTCTACCCACATATAATTTTGATATATTAATGAAGCACAATCTATAAACAAGCAGCCAGTGTCAAACGATAAGATATGATTGACTTGAGTATATAACTAAAATTTCTTGTGTAACTTTTCTTTTTTGCAAAATGCACTCTGTTAGAAAATCGATCCTTTTTAGTAATAAAAAGGTTTTAATTTTTTTTTTTGGTAACAAAGAAGCGTGTTCAGCAAGGCGAGCAATGTAATGCTATTACACTTTAGAATTTGTTAGAAGAACCTATTTAAATGAATGCTTGTTTTATCCCGATATCGCAGGTCTTTTTTTAGATTACCGTAAACACTTGACATGAAGCCTAGGCCTTCACATGTAGAATGAATACTTTGAACTATTTTCAACCATGTTTTTTTTTTAAATTTATTTTCCGAATTAAAGCAGTGATTTGCAGCGCAATCTCTTTTTATGATCTACATCTATTTATTGCTCTCTAACTTGTGATAGCTCTATTAAAACGCCATAATTGATTTATTGTGTCCTTCACAGTGGTAAGAAAAGTAAGTAGAAAATGAGACAGTTTCATGGCATTCAGTTCAAAAATCTGTCTAAAGTATTTTCCCTACATAAGTGCATGTTGATATCTTTTAAAGAAGAGGCCAAGGAGATATAAATAAATATTTTAAGCTCACCTGAGTCGAAGGCTCAAGTGAGCCTGTCTGATCACAATTTGTCTATAGTCTATCTTCGTTGGAAAATGGAAAGTAGGGAACATCTTCTCTTCCGGGTGGCGTATTATAGCATCCGTAATTCTGTTTGTTTGCAATACTTGCATCCCTAAAACAACGTATAAATTATTTAATTGTTAAGTACCTACCATTGCTATCTTTCTATTATTTAGGATTTTTGAATTTTTGAAGTTTGTAAACCAGTTAGTTTATGTTGGACGGAATAGTTAAATAATATTTATTTCAGGGGCTGTCAGATGAAATCCAAGAATCGATATATTTTACACATTAGCTGCAAATACATGTAGTTTTTACGACCTCCGATCCTCAGTCAGGAAGGATAACTCTTTGATTCATAATTTTATCCAAAAAAAAAATCAAAAAATGAAGCTTAAAAAAAATTAGTATAAATCTTTTCATGCTCAACTTTCATTCGAAACCTCTAAAGACGCTTCAAGGTTTTTTTTATTTTTTTTGAATTTCTCAGAAAAGGCCAATAAAATTCGAAATTTTTACCCCATTAAAGTATTTTAAGAATTATATATTTGAAGATATTGGGGTTCATTTAAATCTAATCATATATACCAATGTTTATTAACATGATATAAAATAAGAAATGATTTGTGGTGTTTTGCAATATTAGGTAAACTCTATTTTTTAAACTATGCATTGTTATATCATCGAAGTAAATAGCAGACATTAAAGTACCTTATATGTATAAAAATTGTGCAATTTCTTCAAAAGCCTGAAAATCTTTGGTTTTTATTTTTAAAATATGTGTTTATTGATCAACTTTGAATTGAAAAATGCATAGTAGGTGTTTTTATTCGAATTTCCGAAAACTTTATCTGAGATTCACTTATTTGCCTTATTTAAAATGATTAACTTTAAAGCTGAAGTTTGAAGAATTATTGTGGGTAAAAACACGTTACTTTGAGAATTCAGAGACATTTTTGAGAACATATTCAATTATTCAGTGCCTTATTTTCATAACCTGAGGATCTGAGTACCTTAATGTGTTCTACATTCCTTCTCTTTTAACTTTGGGACAAAAAGGAGTCATATCTCTGCCCAGATCAAAACAGCCTTCCAAATAGAAAAGAAGTGCACCAAAATAGTATATCCAGCACTGAAAAACTAATTAAAGCTACTGCATCTGCAAATGGTATCCATGTGGACTATGTAAAATTGGCAGCAGAGATAATTAAGCACAAAAAACAAGAACAATAAAAGAACACTGCATATTAAATGTCTGCACTTGCTATATATACATAGTATTCCAAATCCATCAGACATCTCAGTTTCATCCAATTCAACTTTATCACATTGTGTACTTGTAAATCTTCTCTAATTCATTCAAATCGTTTTTTAATCATTCTCGGCTTTATCATCAGCGACACAAGCGGTGTCCTTAATTGACAATGTTTTAAGTTACACTTGGTGTATGCAGAAGACGAAATTTAAGATTGTTCCGAAAACGCACCATCATTAACACATGAACTATTTCTAAATTAGTATATAATGCCTTCAAATTTAATATAACCAAATTAAATGTCGGCTTTTTCAAAAATGTTTAAAAGCTTTTAAATAATTTTATTTGGAAGAAAAGTAATGAAATTAAAAGAAATAATGTTATCGGTGATGTTGAGAACGGTGGAATCGGAGTCGTTGATGCTGAAAGCAGAGATCCTAGTATGTTAGTAATTTTAAAATTATCATGTAAATATGACTCCAGGATGTACACTTCATAAATATGTTATACAATTATTGACTTCAGTGTAGGTCGATATGAGCTTATAAGGACTCATGGAAATTGATATTGACCAAAGACACAGAATTCGAGGTCGCTATCATTTTCTGTGTCTGAGGTAAATATCAATTGCTATGAGTTTTTATAACCACTTATTATACCTCTATTGATAAAACTCGAATTTGATTGGCTGGAAAGAAAAAATTAAAACACAACAATGACTCCAAATGGTACTGTTTACCTGAATAATGACCCCAGGAATCATTGCACGTGGGATATAATGACCCGGTCATTATAATTAATGACCGCTAAATAATAACCTCTTAATCAAAAATTCTTTTTTGAGTGAAATTAATGCATAAATAGTAATTATTCGAGAAAAACAACATATTTCAGAATTTTACTTGGTCTGTTTTGCATTACCATACAGAATATGCTTTAATTTATTCGTTAACTTAAACGGTTTACTCATTTCAAAATACCGTTACAATTTAGTTCAACGTGTAGAAGTGGCTCTTTAAAGAGTTGAATTCTGTGTTAGATTTTGACTGTGTAGAGGAAAAGTAATCTCTAGTTATAACACTATATGTCGCTATCAACCAAATATTGTTTTAATCAGTGAATCAAGATGCAAAAACATACACGACTTGCAGACGTTTGATAAAGTTTATGTAAACAACTTTACTATACGGAGTGAAGCGAATCCCGATTCCGATCAAAGAAAGAATTGATTACGGTTAGAGATTTATACTTTTTAATAAATATCGGTGTAATAAAACAGATGATTACCCCTTGTGAGTTCAACATGGTGAAATAAGGACCGTCGACCTGGCCCACTCGTTGAGCTGCCCTGACTTCGGCCGCTACAGGGCCTCGGTCAAGCCAGGTCACCTCGTGGGCAAGGTCTCGGGTCCTCACTTCACCATGTTGACCTCAAAAAATTAATTGTATAATATTGACCCTTAACTGAAGTCCATAATAGTTACGAAACAGCCATAACTGAACAGACTTTACCGTCATTACATCACAATGGTTAAATTTACTCTTCTTATATTATGAGGAAACATATTACGTAACTTTAGTGCAACCGAACGGCGTGTCGTGCCATATTATTTTTTGCGGGCGTGCTTTGGCATTGATATCACAAAAGGAGGAATATCTCGTGACGTGCTTTCAACCAATGAAAACTACAAAATAATCTACCTATATAATATTAAGAATTATAATCCATCTTTTATCGTTAAGTTAAAATGACCCTCTTGAGATTTGGTGTTTTTTTTTTTTTTCATTTTAATTATATGTTTAAATTACATTGCTTATTTTCCTTAAAAATAATATTGCACACAAAGAATGTTTTCAAGAACAAATGACAATATCTTTATGTACCAATTGCTTGCATAATTTCCAGTCTCTTCAAATAAATTCTTTTTTTTTCAGTAATAATTAAATCATAGATCATGACTATCTAAACAATATTAAGATTTTTTTAAGGCTCTTCAAAGATAAATGAGGTAATATCCCAACCATAAGCATTGTATTTTGACTTTTATGCACTTAAGTTGAAAATATAATGTTATAAAGCAAAAAAAAACCTTTTTGAGGCAAAAAAAAAAAAAAATTAAATACTCTCCGTGTAAAAGATAACGATGTCCAGCAAAATTGAAAATTAAGAATTTATATGAGCAGGATGAAATGATATAAATGACAATAAAGCCATTTATTTTGGTCAATGATGACCTTGCACATTAAATTGATCTTTGAATGTGCACCACTGACAAAGAACTATAATTAACACTTTTTCCGAACTTACCAACAGGAAACTGCTGATATAAATTCGCATGGTACTACACTGTAGTGGCAAAATACTTTTTCATTTCTATTGAAACAATATGTTCTAAAAAATTTGTGAAACGTACGATGAACTCCTTTGTTTTGTTTTTTTTAATTAAAGATGGAAGAATGTCAAACTGTTCAAATTGTAGCTGTACAATTTTTAAGCAAATCTTCATTTTAAACCTAAAACATGTCCGGATCCATAAATGTGAGTTGAACCATGAAAACATCAAACACAGATGCAGTTTACAATATCTTTGTATTTTTCGGCTCTGAAGAATGAAATTACCAAAATCATTTTAAAATAAGAGGCCCGGGGCCATATCGATTACCTTTCAATTTCATCTTTCCTGGCCCACTGGGTCTTGAGAAGATTTTCAAAAAAGTTTCTCATGTATTTCTTATGTTAAACTTTGATACTTCATAGAGGCCCAACCCTATCCCCGGGGGTAATGATGTGAATATATATAATTCTTCACTACCAGACCATGATTCCACCAAAATTTAATCTTTCCTGGCCCACTTGTTCTTGAAAAGAAGACTTTTAAATGATACCTTTAAATTATCAGTAATTAAAAGTTATCTCCCTTTGGAGAAGACGTGGCCCTTCATTTGAATGATCTTGAATTCACTTGGCCCAAGGACACTTTGTGGCAAGTTTGGTTGAATTGGCCTAGTGGCTCTTGAGAAGAAGATAAAAATGTGAAAAGTTTACAACAACAACGACAACAACAACCACGGCAACAATGACAACAACGTCAAAAAACGGACAAAATTCGATCAGAAAAGCTTACTTGAGGCTTCGGTTCAGGTGAATTAAAAATCTAAATTATTATAAACTTAGAAAAACGTGTTAAAAATTATAAAACTGAGATATCAGAAAAAAGGAGATTTTATACCTTTAACCGCACCTGACATATCAATCACACTGTTCTATACTTTTCTGTATATGAAATTATTAACTTGTTTTACATTTTGAAAATTGACAAAGGGATCTTAATGCACTCTCCTACCATTTTTTTTCAGGTTGCGCTTTCAGCATCATCTAGAATAATGAACCACAGAGATTGGCAGCTCTTTGTCCAGTGGAAACCTTCATACATGTACACCTTATTACCGGAGTCAGAGATATATCTGTTCAATTTTATTTGAGACCCCTTCTCAGAGAATGTACCCTTTCTTCAATAACTTCCAGTTCCACAATCTTTCTCTCTTCTTGTACGTGCGCGTTGATTACCTATTTGGGTTTATGAATAATTTTAAGCTGCCAGTGCAGTAATGTACTTTTTAAAGTTTTTATTTTATTCCATTATTTTATTTTTATTCCAAACACGAAGCGAACGTTCAACTGAGTGGGGTTCCGTACGTGACGGTAAAAGAGGGTATGAAAGATTCTCTGAAAATTCTCTGAGATTTTATTCAATGGTATACGTAGATTTGTGGAGATATATGGTACCACCCATGTTATGGAAAGAATTTTAATGTCAATTATTATTTTCTTTGAGGTAAATCTATTGATCTTGTATAAGAAAAATTGCAGATGAAATGTGGGTATACCAAAGTTATAAGGAAGAAAGGAAGAATTGGCATCGATCTTTAACATTATACTTCCCACGCTTTTCAGGCAGAGGTACATGAACACATGTATAGTTACTTACAATGTATGATAAATATATAAAATGTTTGTTTTATAAGACACAGTCCATTAATCGCCTAGTTTTCAAGTTTTTTTTATGATTTTGCTACCGTTCTCTCATTTTTTAGAGTTCTTAAAAGCAATATCTCTATACGAGAGTGATTTACCTCTTAAAAAAAAAAACCCTTTTTAGTATAACTACGTGTAAGTGAGATTTTTGGATCAAATTATCAGCCTTATATTAAATTGATTTATAAAGCTCGCGGTGCATAGACCCTAAGCAATCGCAACTTTTCGGGCCTTTCCGATTGGTGGAAAAACGACCTTGAATGTATATGGTAGACGCCATGACAACCCTCCTTTTATACGATCTTTGAAATAAATGCATGGAGACCTTTTATCTGTGAAATATGACTTTAGCTTTATCAAATGTGATGCTATAACCTAAAATATACTAAAGTAGGAACTTCTAACTCAGTCTATCCTATATTTGAATAAACAGGCAATTAATGTATAATTTTTTAACATACTGTGATGTTAATACATTCAGGGTTGTTAATATACAACCTATGACGGAAAGAACAGAGATGATGCGATTGAGATCCTATTCTCTGGTCGTAGACAGCAGAATGATGCATGTGTATTTGCACAGACGGAAATAAAAACAACAATTGATATCGTAACATACGTTTTAACTTTTAATAATCGAAAAAATGATTGGGGAGAATATTCTCTATCATCACAATGTACATGAAAATTAAAACTGCATATTAATGTAAACAACATATATTAGCAAAAAAAAAAAAAAAACACTTATCTTTCTATCTATCATTAGCAAATTATCTAACATTGGCAAATTTCGATAAAAAACAAATTACATGTGAAGATCATAATAGTTTTGCAACCTTTTGATCATAAAATAAGGCACTGATACCACGATATGACAACTTATAGCGAAGGTTAAAGTTTTGCAAATGCAAATCAAAAATATTGATATATAAAATAAGGTCTTCTCACAAGAAATACATACACACTTGTGATATACCAAAGATTTAAACAACCTGTTCAGAAGTTATGGCCAAATTTAAAGTGTTTATTCATATATTTTTTTTAAAGTAGCTTAAGGTAAAAGTGTTGGTAACATAAAAGTCTTTCCACAAGGACAAACCGTTCACGGTAGCTCAGTCGGTAGAGCGCTTGCTCCGTGATTGGGAGGTCTTGAGTTCGAATCTCGGCCGCGACTGATCTAAGTCGATAAAAGATGGGTAGCAACTGTTCCTTCGCCATGCGCTTGGCACTTTGAAGTGAAAGTTGCTGGTCCTTGTGACAAGACCTAAAAAACCTAGGCCCCTTGTCAGCGGCAAGCGTTGGCACGATAAAGATCCCTTACTGCTCAATGGCCCTGAGTGCCGAGTGAAGGTCAAAATTTGAAGTCCTTCACCGGCATACGGTGACATCTCCATATGAGTGAAAAATTCTCGAGAGAGAGGTTAAACAATATACAATCAATTAATCAATCAAAAGGACAACGTATATAAAGTACAAAAGCCCGAGTCAAAACCTTTCAAAAGTTATGGCCCAGGTTTACATTTTTTAAGTAGGTCAAATTTTAAGGTCATGGTCAAAGGGTCAAAGTTGTTTATATCTAAATGATCTCGTTACAAGAATAAGATATGTGAAGTATAAAATAAAACATTAGCCTTAACTGTTCAAATGTCATGGCCATGCAAAGTTAAGTTTATTTTAAAAGTATTTCAAACTCCTAGGTCAAAGTCAAAGATCAAAGTAGTTGGTATCGAATGAAAGATCTTGTCACAAGAAATACATATGTGCAGCCCTTAGCACCACCTATTCAAAAGTTGAACAGACACACAGATTAACAGACAAACCGACAGTGAATATGGGAAAAAAACTATGTACTCCAAATCTCTAAATACAAGGGCACACAAATGAAATAAATCAAAATCATTAAATAATTATTTATTTTCTGATATTGAACAATGGATAGGCAGGAGACATTGCCTATATAAGCCCTCTCAAAAAATAAGCAAAAAATAAGATGCAGTTGTTAAGCACTGATGCCCCATATGGTAACATAGAAAAGGTTACATTTTCTCGAATGGAATTCAAACATGTTGATCTCCGAAATAAACCTTTTCACGAGAAAAACAGATGTGAAATACGAAACCATAGTACCACCTGTTTAAAGGGTATGGTCAAGATTACTATTTTCAAGGTAGGTATGACACCTTGGTCAATGTCAAAGAGTCAAGGTTGCTGGTCTCTAAGGAAAAGCTTTGTAAGAAAGATAACATATTAGGGGAATCAAAACACTAGTCCTTACCGTTAAAAAGTATTTGCCAATGTTAAACTTTTGAAAAATAAAATAGAACAAACTTTAATGGCAAAGTCAAAAGATCACAGTTTTTGATACATGTAAGTATCAAATGTAAGGTCTTGTCACAAGGAACACATATGTGAAGTATAAAAGCCCTCGCCCTTACCATTTAAAAGTTATGGCTAATGTTAAAGTTTTTGAAAAGTAGATCTATCTCCATGCGCAAGGACAAAAGGTCAAAGGTGTATGTATTCTATGGATGGTTTTGTCACAGAAAATACATATCTAAAGAATGAAAGCACCAACTGTAAAAAAGTTATTGCTAAAGTAAATGTTAGGATTGGTGTAAAAGTGTGTCAAACTCCAAGGTAAAGAGATGAGATTAAATTCGATGGTTACCAGAGAGAAGTGTTGTAACAAGAAATACACCTGTGAAATATGAAAGCCATAGTCTTACCTAGTCCAAGTTTTGATCAAGGTTTAAGATTTTTCGGACAGACATAAAGACAGACAGACAGACAGAACAGGACAGAAGCTCAATACCCCCGGAACTTACTTTACTTCGACATAAAAATTATAATATCAAAATAATTATTGAGTATTTTTACTTCTTATCTATCACTGGCTACATATGTTAGTGTCTTAACACATTCATTAATGCGCCTCTAGAAAAGAGATGTCTTAGATTTGACCAGTCAGCACAACTTTATGTTTCTTTTACATGTGTGTAACACGTAATAGGTACGTAATAGTTAAGAACAGATGACACAAACTTTGTTAGGAGACTTAACATTGTGTCATTTGAAAAAAAAATTGTTTATTTCTTTCCTCTTTAGACTTGAGAATGAAATACCTTCCATTCCCAAAGGTACACAGCTAGAGTAATCATAGTAGAATCATTCAATTTTCATGAATTAACCCTCTTTTCTCTTCAAAAAGTTTTTTAAAGGAGCACAGAGTGAACTAATACTACATTTAATCATAACACATTTAATCATACTGATGAGCTTTAATGCTCAAAGTCAATAAAGAACTTGAACTTGAATCAATAACCTGTTGTATTTTCGTGCATAAAAGAAATGAGGCTTTGAAAATATCAGTTGATATTTAAAAAAAATTACAAATATGGACGAATCACACTTAGTAAAGATTTAAAGATGAAAATAAATTTCCGAAAATGTTATCTTGGTCTTAAACAATGTACCATGCCAGCTAAAAGCAAAATAGTAAAAATAAGCCTATTTGATCTAGGCTCGTCTTTACCATTTTGCTTTTTCTCAGGAAGATCACCTGCTTTTATTGGTTTACTTTCCCCCAAATATATTTGGAAAATATCAAAGAATATTCCAGTTTTCTAAAACTTTGACTCATGATAATAAGTCTCCTAAAAAGAAAACGTTTGTTTTTATCATCTGTCCTTACATGTAAGTATACAAAAAACCAACGTTTCCGATAAAATTTTACTCTAGAACTTTTTTAGAGCCTTTTAAGTTCATAAAATCATACCAATTATGTAAGATTTTGAAATAAAATGTAAATATACAAAAAGCATTTCATTCTTAAAATAAAAAAAAAATGGTTTGTAGACATCTTGATATAAAATGAAAGACAACTCTCTGAAACTCATGGGGAAAATACTGTGATCATCTAAGGCAAAACTTTGATTAATGGTAGTGACGACTTTCATATTCCTTATATTTTAATTTCGTTGTTTAAATAAAATTGAAGATTAAGATTTTAAAAATATAGACAAATAGATTTTAAATTACACCCCCCCCCTGTAAATATAAAAACATTATCATTAGCGTAATTAAATGTAAATTAATATGTTTGAAATATTTGTTTGAAAGCATCGAATTGAATGTTTTTATTTATCAACTTCTTAGGAATGTCCAAAATATGTTTATTAAAAGTAATACATGTCTATAGAGATGATGAGCAATCTTAATCAAATTCATGTATTTTCAGTACAAAAGCAGCTGGTCAGATCTATATGTATCTATTCAACGATTTCACATCATAAAAGATGTACTATTTTTGAAACGCTTATGAAACGCATATCTTAAAAAAGAAAAACAAAGTTTGAAACAATAAAATATTTATAAAAATTCAAAGGAAAAGGTCTACGGTAAACGTCATATATTCTGTAGCTCATAAACCCACTTTTCATCATCTTGGATTTCCTCATTTATAGTTCTTTGTGCATTTGATTTTTTTTTCTGAAAAGTAAATATATTTTTCTATCGATGCATAATTCTATTCAAAAAAGGTTTTAAAACAGATATATTTCTATAATAATTCTTAAAACTGAAATTAAAATTTAAGAATGCAGTTTTGAGAATATTAGAGGAGATTCAGCTTCTGTATAAATACATACCACTTCGTCTTATATACAATACTGCAAGTACTAGTAGCAGACAAGCTAGATAACAAATTGTTATTGCTATTAAAACTGTGCTTGGTCTGTCATCCTCGTACCTAAAATTGTACAAAGGCATATCAAAGTGAATAACTTGTATCCAAATGTCCTGCAATTTATAAACCATGATACATAAATGAGTATTACTTTAATAAAGAGATCTGATGCTAAGATTTCTTTTTGTGTATTTTTGATAATTATGCTGTCAATTTAAACAGAAATAACATCTTTACAAACATTCATGTGTATTCATGTTTCATAAATTGTAAATGACATCAGTATAGGTATGCATCAGATATATCTATGCTCAACATCATAATACAAAGAATTGTATCTCAGAGTTAACGTTCATAGTTAAAAATATAGCATATTTAACTACTGGAAATAAATTATAAACTATAATATAAATATAATATGCATTATATTGAAATACACTATAACTAAACATTATACATCCTGTTCTCTTCTGTAGTAGTATTAATAACTAGAAAGGATTTCTTCTTCAATAATCTGTAGCATCCTTGGTCTGAAAGTGAATACATATATATATATATATATATATATATATATATATATATATATATATATATATATATATATATATAGGTATATGAGGTTGTTTGTGGGCACCGGGCTTCTTACCTGGTTTATGGGATCTCGCATTTCTACATTGCATAGCTATGTCATATTCATGATTTAGGCGTTATATATGGTCCTTATATAATATATAATATAATTTTTGAGTTAATATTATAAATATTGTATATAATTGTGGGTCAAAACATTGATATATATAGAGCATTGTGGGATAAACTATATACATCGCACAATGCACTTCATATATTAATTCTATGACCCGCAATATTTTTTTATGCTATATAATTATATTATTTGCTGTAATTCACAATGAAAAGACATTAAAATTAATGTTTTATAAAATATCAATAAATATATTCATGTATGTATATTTACTTATGTACAAAGTAGAATAAACCATTAAGAACAGTTTCGCTGATTTCAATATAAAATTTTCATATTAAATAATGATTTACTACGATACATTATTTATAAGAATCTTAACAAGATATTCTATGGATATTCTCTCTCGCAATGTAATTCATACAATGAACTGCCCAACAATGTTATATATATAGTGACCCACAAACAGCGATGATCACTACATTTATTATACAAAGAGTGTCCCACAATCATGTATAATCACATGCGGTATATTCATCCCACAATTCATTATATACATATAATGATATAAACAGTGACCCACAGTTTTAACTACCTGCAATATATTAATCCAACAATGCATTATTAACATACAATGTATATACATATATATGCAGTGAACCACAAACTGGTATAATCACTACATTACACCCCTCCCCCCATTTTGTATATACATACATACAATGATCCACAATCAGTAATATATTTATGAATTTTTTGTTCTAAATATAAAGTTGAGAACGAGTTGCCACTTTTTATTAAATTGTACAGAATACTCGAAATAGAGATCAGATTTATTAACTAGCGTTTATTGCAACCCAACATTTTCTAAGTCGGATCTAAATACTTTTATTGTCCTTTTAACGCATTTTCCAAGGCACATCTCAAAATATTTATATTAATCATGCATGCAAATGCAAGCTTTGTTGTACAGAAAACCGCTATGCACAAAATGTTTGTGTGGCGGTTTATTTATTTCCTTTATTTTTTGTTTAATGTGATATATATGTCCGATGGGTCGGGTGTTTGAATATTTGTATAAAATTTAAATGTTTCTGATATGATTGTATTGTATGATAACACATGCCGCTATGATAAACAATTTCTGTACTTATTTATCCAACAATTCTCTATAATATATAAACATTGACCCACAGTCAGTTATAATCACGTGCGATAATTTATCCCACAATTCATTTTATATTTATAAACAGTAACTCACAACCAGTTTTAATCACATGCAATATATTTATTCCATAAAATTTTCAGTATTACTTTATAAATACTTTCGGATCATATCAAATAATGATTCACACGATACATTATTTATAAGAATCTTTACTATATATTCTAGGGATATACTCTCTCACAATATTATTTATGCAATAAAATGCCCCAAGATGTTATATATATATATATACATGTATATTGTGACCCACAAACAGCGATAATCATTACATTTATTATACATAGAGTGTCCCACAATCATGTATAATCTCATGCGGTATATTTATCCCACAATTCGTTATATATACATATATACAGTGACCCATAGTTTTAACCACTTGCAATATATTTGTCCCACAATTCATTAATAACATATATACAGTGACCCACAATCGGTTTTAATCACGTGCAATCCGTTATAAACTTGAATACAGTGCCCCACAAACGGGTATAATCACTACATGAACCCCCCCATTTCTTATCCACAGTCAGTAATAATCACGTGCAGTATATTTATGTATTTTTTTCTAAAGATAAAGTTGAGAACGAGTGCCACTTTTATTGAATTGTACAGAATACTTGAAATACAGATCAGATTTATTACCGCTAACTAGCGTTTATTGCAACCCAATAATATTTCCTATGTCGGATCTAAATACTTTATTTTCCTTTTAACGCATTTTCCTCGGCACACCTCAAAATATTTATATTAATCATACATGCAAATGCACGCTTTGTTGTACAGAAAACCGCTATGCAAAATATTTTTGTGTAGCTGTATAATATATATATTTCCTTTATTTTTGTTAAAAGTGACATATAAGTCCGAAGTGATTAACACTACAGAAACTGACCAATTGTTCAGAGTGTCTCAATTTGGAGATCCATAATTACCTCCAAATTAGCTTAAATAATTTGGATAAACGCTAAATTAGCAATCCCTATGCGCAGAAACAGAAAAATTCAATTGCATTTTAAGAAAATAGTGTATAATTTTACATTATATTTTGTTTTTTTCCGACTAAGGTCGTGTCACACTGTCACGATTTATGCTACGATTACCCACGAATTAATAAAAGTTGAAAATCGCCATTCATCGCCAGGTTTATCTTGCGATTTTTCTACAGCGTGTGGAATATTTTGCTGTTAGAGTGGTGTGTCTACGAAATCTGTGCGACAGACTACGAGGTTTGTACGATTTAAGTACGAACTGAGGCGACAGCTACGAACTGGTTACGATATTTCTACGATTATGAAGGTTACATACGATACCCGTACGAAGGACCACGATATGCCACGTTACATACACGATATGCCCACGACTAATGGCGATTTCTTACGAATATACATGTAATGGAATGCATATATGGAGTAAAGGAGATTTATCTGAAATTATTAAACATCATAGTTATGTTATTTGATCATGGTAAAAACTACAGTGTGGAACTTTTTATTATGTTTAATCTCTTCATATGTTTTTTGTATGCGGTGTTTATAGAATCTGTTACACATGTATTTTCAGTTTATTTCACTTTTCTAAGCTTCTTTCCTTATATTTTAGGCAGTATTTTGATTTTGACATTGTTAACATCAGACACCGTCTGCCTACATCGTATTAATTCGTAGTTCAATCGCACAGTTTTCGTACAGCGTTTGCCATCACTCGTCCCTTATCGTATCATATTCGCGGGAAAGTCGTGCTATGTTCTTATCAATTCGAAGAACACTCGCAGTATCTCGTAGGACACTCGCGGTAACTCGAGAGACACTCGCACATACTCGAAGGAAACTCGAAATAACTCGTAGGACTCTCGTACTGTCGGAAGTACTACGAAGTTCCGCGATTGTCGCACCAACTTCGAAGATTTACTACGAATATGAGTACGAGTGCAGTGCGAATGCTGTGCGATTGTTTACGAATAATCAAAAATCGTGCTGTGTCCACGATTGTTTTGAACATGCTCAAAACAATCGCCAAACTTGGCGATTTGCTGCGATCCAACAGGATTAATGAAGATATCCTACGAGTACTTCTACGATAAATCCCGATTTGCTGCGATTTTTGAATTCGTAATGAATCGTAGCTATATATCGTGACAGTGTGACACGGGCTTAACCGATTACATATTTTCTATTCTATTGCCATCGTTCCGACCGATTAATCGGTTAACCAGTTACAAACTGCCATCTCTTATATACATGCATATTTTAACCACCTGCAATATATTTATCGCACAATTCATTATGTACATATATACAGTGATCCACGATCAGTTTTAATCAAGTGCAATATATTTATCGCATAATCCGTTAAAAACTTGTATACAGTGACCCACAAACTGGTATAATCACTACATTAACCCCCCTTCTTTATATATACATACAAACAGTGACCCACAGTCAGTAATAATCACGTGCAGTATATTTAGAAGTAGAGAACAATTTTCATGAAATTGTACAGAAAACTCGAAATACATATGATCAAATTTATTAACTAACATTTTGTATGTCTGATTTAAATACTTTTATTTTACTTTTAACGCATTTTCCTAGGCACATCTTAAAATATTTATATTAATCATACATGCAAATGCAAGCTTTGTTGTACAGAAAACTGCTATGCAAAATACTATTGTGTAGCGGTATAACATATTTCCTTTATTTTTGTTAAAAGTGACATACAGGTCCTAAATGCCGAGTGTTTGAATATTTGTTTTAAATGCTTATGATATGATTGTATTGTATGATAACACATGCCACTATGATAAACGATTTTCTTACTTATTTATCCAACAATTCTTTATAGCATATAAACATTGACCCACAATCAGTTATATATTACGTGCGATAATTTATCCCACAATTCATTTTATATATATAAACATTAACTCACAACCAGTTTTATTCACGTGCAATATATTATTCCAAACATCATAAAATGCATATATACAGTGACCAACAGTCAGTGAAAAGCACGTACAATATATTTATCCCACAGCCATTAAATACATATATATACAGGGACCCACAAACTGGTACAGTCACTACATCAACCCAACCCCCTTCAATTCTTCATATGCATAATTATACAGTGACCCACAATCACTTTAAATAACACGAAGTATATTTATAATACAATTTCTTGTACATGTATACAAATATATGTATAGTGAACAACAATTTATTTAGTTAAAATCTTGTGCAATACACTATATATATATATATATATATATATATCCCATAGGTCAGTATATACATATATATAGTGACCCACAAACAATAGGTTTCTACGGTATGCGCATTTGAATATAGTGTATCTCAGAGTGGTATGTATGTAAACTCACTTTATTTATCCCATAATATTTACATCCGCTGAATATTTTCTCCTATATTTCTTAAGAAAACCCATTGCGTTAATTACTGCGTGAGCTACAGTCGGCATGTCGCCTGTACAGATTTCTTGATGAGTGGTTGTTACATCAATGAAACGTATAAAGACGTTCGCATTATTAATACATTAATCAATCTTTTAATCAAACTTTAAGTGATCATTTAAACA